ATTTCTAAAAAATTCTGTAATAATTATTATAGAATAGTCTCTATCTATCAATGTCATATTCTATTGTTGTAAAAAAATAAAAATAAAAAATGAACTGCTGTGTTGTGTTATATTGTGCATCATATCCAACGACAAATAATATATAGAAAACCACCAAAGACTTAAAATTCACATCATAATAATTTTAATCAGTTATTGTATGTATATGTAAAACAAGAGAAAGCACTCTATAATTCTTTTTTATTCTCTTTTTCCGAAAAATTTTCTTTTTGTACGTACATACTCATACTAATGTGAAATTTCGATAATACCAATGTAATGGTTTAGATAGCAAAAAAAGAAGAAAAAGATGAACCTCCAAAAAAAAAGAGAACATAACGAGAAAGAATGAGAAAAAAATTATTACAACCAGAAATTGGAAATAGTCTCTAGACTAGAGAGAATTTGATGTCCATGAGACACAAATAACTGTGCAAAAATGAGCTTGACGACATTTTGTGTGTGTGTGTGTAAAAAATCCATTACGAACGTAATGAAAAAATATAGCCTATACTATTTGTTCGAGGTAGAAGAGAAGAAAAAAAAAATTGGACGAAAGAAACTTTTCCCGTGTACAATGTAACGATTAGATACATGTTTTTCATGTCACTTACATCAAATTCAGAGTGTGTTTCTATATATACATATATGTCTCACAGGAGTTCAATGACCGCACAATTGCTCAAAATACGTCAAAAAAACGCGATAGGTACTTTGATGTCATCGAACTTTTTTTTTTGAATAGCATACAAAACTCTTTTTATCCTCAAGAGATTGTATATTTGACTTGTTGCTTTAATCATGAGAAGAAAGAATTTAACTTAACATAACGACACGTTTAGAAAACTAAATTCACACTTATATAGATAACTTAAGAGGATATACGCATTTTTAATCGTCTTATTTGATCTTATGACTCTTTCGCGTTAAAGATGAAGACACAAATCTAATTTATAGCCTAAAATATAATTATTTGTTAACTACCATAATCACTACACATCTAAGAAAAATATGTAGTTTTATATTATGTATTAAAATATATAGTCCTTCATTTTTAAAGAAATAAAAAAGAAAAAAAATGGGAACATGTTGACAAAATTTTAAGTGTACATGGACAATTCTAACATCATAAAATTTTACTGACTATGTGTACATGACAAAAAATATTGGCATAAGAAGACAAAATTGTTCTTTAGAATAAATTTGCATTACAAATCTCATTCTCATCAACTCCTGAAGGTATTGTTAAAAGTATTATCATCTATTTAATCTATTTAATCATTATATTTAACAAGAATGAAAATCGAGAATATAAAATCTCATTATATCTTTCTGAAATTTAAACTATCAAAATATAAAATCAATCCTTGTACGACGTTCGGATCGAACACACGAATTTGATCTTTGATGATGAACTACAAAAATCAACGTCATTGTTCTTTCCTATCTTTTGCACAATGATTGAAGTTTATACAATGACTCGATACTATCCTTCAATGTATATTATTTTTTTGTGATTTTTCTTAACTTTTTGAAAATTTATTTGACGATCATAAGCTATAATTATTTAAAATGATGTCAAAAATTAAAGGATAGATACATATTGTACAGAAAAAATGATTTTTTTTTCTTTTAGATTTAAAAATAAAAAACAAACATCGCACTTCTCTTATTCTATTCAAAAAACATACAATTTGTGAGAATGTTTTTATTGTTATTGTGTTATTGAACTTGTTTGTTTGTCTATATCAAGGATAGTCACCCTTACATCTTTGTTGAAAGAACGAATGGGAAAGAAAGAGAGAAGAAAAAAGAAAGTCGACCGCGCAATAGTTATTTCTATTATTATTATTATTTGGAAAAATTATCTTCATATACGTAATTGTGGACAAATGAGATATATATATATATACGAAGTTTTCTGTGTATGTTTGTGTATTATTACTTACTAGATATGAGCGACAATCCTCTTAATATATATAATATACATATATATAAAGAACTATTGAGGAGTACTATTTGTATTGCTGCTGATGGCACCATTATAAATATACAAGTATTGAAAAAAAAGAAAATATTCAACGGTAATCTGAGCATCAATATGTGTCAAAGACTAAAAGAAGCACATCAAGGCATTAACAAGATTATTGAAAATAAAACGATTAATAAATACATACATCATATTTCTTGGATCTTGTTCTGTCTATGTTTTGCCGTAATCAAGCTGATAATACTTCTCTTCTTTCTTTCGTTTTTTTAGTTACCGTTCGATGTACACACATACTTAGTCTACATGTACTAGAATCTATTACTTTCTTCGTTCTTTCTACTTTTCTTTCCCTCTTTATTCTTTTTTTTTCTTCTTTCTTACAAATTCTGATAAAAACTGCTCTTAACACTGCACCAGATGGCATGATCAATGAAAAGTATGCGTATGTAATACATGGAGCTCGTACATATAAAGAAATAAACTAACGAAAAAAAGAAAAGATTCGCGTTTTATTACGTTGAAAAACTTGGCACTTCGGTTATATTTTCTTTTTCTCTCGACGATATTTATGCCGTACATACGAAGAACTATAGTCTACAGAGAGAGAGAGAGAGAGAGACAGAGAAGAAAAAGAGTAAGAACTAAAAAAATAGAACGACGAGTTTAATAGATAGACTTTACTATAAAGAAAATTCTATTTTTACTCATTTAGTGTGTTTTCCGATGAACAATAATGATGATGAGATGAAAACAGACATGGAGGAAAAAAGACAATTTAGAACAAAATATAAGAACGAGAGACAGAATCATTAGAAGAAGAAAAAACTAGAAAAAGTAATAGAATGCCGAATAATTTAATGGTTCGACACTCTAAGACCGAGAACAAGTCTCATAATTAAATACAAGAAATTTTTTTGTTAAACAATTTGAGTAATAAATATCACCGAGAATTCTATTATCAAAAACAGACACATTCATCGTGAAAACATATCTAAAAAATTGCATTTGACAAAATTTTTATTTAAAATCTTTTCTCCATCCACCAGATCAAATGTTTCCTCAAACTATTGCTTGAAAATTGTCTTCAAAGTTTTCAATACTGTTGATATATACATATATTGAAAAATATAATTTCATTTTTTGTATATTTAATACAAAAATCTATTAGAAAAATTTATAAATGTCTACTTTTTTCTATTATTTTCTTTTCTTTTCAATATGTTCTAAACACATTTGATTTAAGAAAACGATCAAAAAAATTTAACCTATGTTATTCTTCTTAAATAGTTTCTCTCATAGACTTTTTTTTTCTATTAACTAGAAACTTTGACAATAATTTTTATACAGAGTTGAGAATGACAGATAAGACGTGAAATGGTGAGCATTTTTGCTACAATATATATATGTTAACAAAGACAGGGTCAATTAAAAAGAAATCAAATTTGTTTAGCCCTACAATATCCTGTTCATGAATTTTTTTTTTTATTATTTCTTGTAAATAAACCAGGTCAAAATATATGTGTGTATATTTACATTCTATTCAACGCAGATCTAATAAATTTTGATCTTCAATAAAAAAAAAAAAAAAGAAAAGAAATTACTCATTTTTTGCTTGTCAGTCAGCATTTATCAATATTATTTGTATTTCTCACAGATCAAATAGAATTCACATCACAGGAAATATTTTTTCTTGTTTCTCATTCGTATGCTTTTTAGGTTTTTTTATGTGTAGTTCCAATCTAAAAAAAGAGAAGAAGCAGCAGTAACACTCATCAAAACTTCTTGATATATATATATATTGCAAAAAAACTTTTTCATCATTTATTTTCTATCTCACTATTCATTCGGAGATGGATTTATATATATATAAGAAAACACTAATTCTAAAAATGTTAATTTTTTTCTTCAGTTTCTCCTCTCTCTCTATATATATCTAAGAGAAATTAAAGAATTAAAGAATAAAAATATATATATATATATATCTTTTTGTTCATTTAATATGTATATATAGGCTGAGGTTTTAGATGATTAGATTGGTGCTACATTGCTGCTAGGAAAAAAAAACAAAAAAATCAATTCCGATCTTCTCTCCTCCTATTTCTTTTATCAAATGAATTGGAACATTAAGATAATGTGTGCGTGCGTATAATAATAATATGTAAATCGGTTAGATGTATATATATAGAGAGAGATAGAATAGAATATAGAATGCAAATCGATATTAAACTTACAATGATGGCAATAGTTTAGTCATTTAGAACGTTTTCGAATAAATATAAGGAATACAACGATCATCTATAATGATGACTCAATTCTAATATTACATTTAGAAGAAAAAAAGACAGATAATTTAGTTTAAAATTACAAACTGATGTTAAACATTTCTTATTTAGAATATTTTACAAACATTTGTCTTGGTATTAATAAAAGTAATCAGAATTTATCATAAGTGTCGATAACGTAGTCTATAAATTCTTTGATAACAAAAAGATGTGTAAAGATATCATTCATTCGCAGTAAAAGTTATCCTTTCTTGAAGAAAAAACTTTTTAAAAAGGTCATAGCTAGTTTGTCACAGAATATATTGTCTTAGCAAACAAAATAAATTGTTTCCAGAATCATATTGTCATTGATAGTATCAAGAATTGGTTTGAATAGACATCAAGATTGTCTACATTAGGTTAGCTTTTTTTAGCAAAAGAAATCTATTTAATAGTGAAATAAAAAGAAATAACATGAGTAAAAAATGGACAACAAATTTGATTGACTAATCTTGTATACTGTTTCAATAATCTGTAATATATAAGAAAGAAGCAAAAACACACAATTAACAACAGCAAATGAATAAAAATAATGAAGAAGATTTCAAAGTTAGATCATTTTAATCTATTACAGAAACGTTGTACGATTCAGTTTCTTTGATTTCTTCAAAATTCAACCAAATGTTCATTCAAGTATTTTTTTGTCCTTTTCAGATATTATTACCAACGAAAAAGTCTTCAATTGCTTTTGAATCACGTTTTAACACTTCAGAACGCATATGAATTGTTTCCACAACTTTTTTCACCGGTCGCATGACAATGGGTGTATTGGCTTTATCGAAAAATGATGTTATATCATTTGATATTTCTTCATCAGCAAAATCAGATAAACCATACTGAAAATCAGAAAAATAAAAGCAACGTTTCGATTTAATAAAACAAAATTTTACTTACTTCAACAAAATAAATTAAAAAGTTACTCTTTTCACCAAAACGTTCTTTTAATTTTGTCCAATTTTCTTTCAAAAATTTCCATACAAGATCCCGTCCAACTTTACTTGATGTGCAACCAGCCAAACCGGATATAGAATCTTGCATTCGTACATTGTCCTAAAAAGTAATGAAAATGAACAAATGTAAATAATAAATCACTAAAGTTCGTACCCCTTCAAAAACAAATTGAAGTGTTTTTTTAATTAATTCTGGTTTCAATGTTTGACCCATTGACCGTAATAAACGAGATTTTTCTTCCATCATATCAGCAGTTGCATAAAGCTAAAAACACAAACCGAATTTCCATTTTAAATTGTTTAATCTACACTTGATTTTCGTACTTTTTTCAATTCTTCTTGTGTTTTCTCATCGCCATACCGAGAAACGAGAACATAGACAGCACCACGAATATTTGGATCGATTAAATCACCAGCAAGATGTCTTTGAAAACGATGTTTAGCCTCATCAATAACAGCTTGATCACCAGATTTTCCTACAAGCCCTAAGATAAGTGGACGAAGCATTGCCGACAACGGATCTTCATCCGGTTTTGCATCCCATCCAAGTTTACGTTGTATCGTTGAAAATATATCAAGACGAAATTTTTTCATTTGTTCAAAATAGTTTGTATATTCTAGCAGTGTTGATAAATCACCAATATTTGATGCTATTGATTTCCATACCTGTACAGTAGCAAAGAGAAAATAAACTAGAAGCGTATGAACAACAAAAGAAAAACACTAACCGTAAAATTATCTTCATTCTTGTATGCTCGTAATAGTTTCAAATAATCAACGAATGATTCATGTCCAGCATTGCACAATGCAGCTACATCATTTTGTATCATTAATCGATCTTGTGGACTTAAAACTTTTGATGAAATTGGTTCATTTAATCTTTCTAATGTTTTAGATTCATATTTCACACGATATAAACCAATACTTTTTTTATTTAATTTAATCCAATCACCTTCCTCCACATTATCTAATGCTATTGTAATTTCAGGTTTATCCATCAAGACTTTTAGCACATCGGATTGTGATTTGGTAAAGATAGTTATTGGTACTTTCCATTGAAGATTTTCATCATCATTACTGCCATCACAAATAAAACGTTGTTGTGTCAATTTTAATACACGTTGTTTATTTAATTGTTGTTCATGAACACTTATCAGTGGATAACCCATTTGTAATGTCCAAGAAGACATTACATCGTTTACAGGTTTACTTGATGCTTCAGTCAAATGAGACCATAAATTTTCTGTGATAGTATTTTTATAACTATATTCTTTTAAATACTTATGTAAACCTTTGCGAAATGCATCATCACCAATATACTCATGCAGCATTCGAATAACAGATGAACCTTTCGAATATGATATGGCATCAAATATTTCATCAATTTCAGCTGGATGACCAATGGGAACTTCGATTGGATGCGACGCTTTTAATGCATCTGGCACAAGAAAACCTAAAGTATAAACAAAAAATTCATTATATGTAACATAATGCCTCACTCAGTTCCAAACGATGATTCTTACGTGCGAATGCATCAGCAATAAATTGTGTCCAAACATCAAATTCTGGAAAACATTTGTCAACAGCAAGATATTCAATCCATGTTGCAAAACCTTCATTTAACCTTAAAATATAAGAAATAAATAAGTTTATTTTATAATTAACTTATGTATGCAAACGTTTACCAAAGATCTGTCCACCATTCCATTGTTACTAAATTTCCAAACCATTGATGAGCAAGCTCATGTGCGACAACAAGTGCGACTCTTTGACGTTGATCCATTGAGGAAAATTTTGGATCAATAAGTAATGTTGTTTCTCTATAGGTAATTAAACCCCAGTTTTCCATAGCGCCTAAAAGAATAGGAAAGAATATAGAAAAAATCTTTGAAAAAAATATCAAGTGTACGAAAGTAAGTAAAGAAAAATAAAACGTTAAAGTTCTGCTTTAAACCGACATACCTATCCATCTTAGGGACAGATGGTGTTTACGTGTGGTTACACTTGACTGCCAGACAAACAATTCATTTTCTTACCCATCGCAAAGTCAGGAATAGCAATCATATCGGCCTTGGGAATTGGATATTTAATTTCAAAATATTCGGCGTAAAACGGCAAGATTTTTGCTGCAGCCTAAATACAATAAAACAAAAATTACAAGTTATCCAACTTTGATTTCAAACTTCTAACGCCACGTTTTAGTCGATCTTTAAGTTACAGCAATGTATTTTGTTTGATAAAATATCAAAAAATATTAGCACTGATTCTCATTTCTCGTTATCTGAATCATATGCCAATACTAGAGGAAGATAAATAGCATCGATTAATTGTTAACTTCTTACTTCTAATGCAAATTGACCATGTTCTTTTTTTCCCAACGGTGTGTACACTTTCATACTGACTCCATTGGAATCTTTTGTTTCAACATAATCATATTCTCCCACAATAAATGCAACGAGATATGTTGACATAATCGGAGTACGATCAAATTTTGTTACTTTCCATGATTTATCATCTTGAAATTCCGATTCTGATTTTGCTGGCTACAACACATATACAGTTTAAAAGAAATGTCGAGGAACTATTTGTGTAGATGTTACCATATTAGATATAGCCAATAGTTGTTTTGGTGTAATCATTGTAACATCGAATGTAGCTTTAAAATTCGGTTCATCCCAGCATGGGAACGCACGACGGCAATCTGCTGGCTAAGAATAACAAGCCGTTTTTCAAACTAATCAAATTGATTGATCTATTGAGTTGCATACCTCGAATTGTGTACTTCCACCATATCGTGTTTCACCTGAGGGTGTTACATATTTACAACGGTAGAAACCTTTCATTTTATTGTTTATGTCACCAGTAAATTTTAAACTTAATTGATAATCACCTTTCTAAATATATTGGGAAAAACTGAAGAAAGACCTCGAAGACGGTTGATTTAATTACATACATCGAGTTTATTAGAAAAATTCACTTTAATTCGTTCTCCTTCTGTGTCCATTTGAATTGACCCATCTTGGGATGCTAAAAATTAACTAATAATAAGATAAATCATGATCAGAGAGAAGAATCAAGAGCTAAGCTGATTCACGGTTACTCAACGAATGCAGCTTATCGGTGAGAAAACTTGATAACGTGCACAGTACTTTTATAACAACTTTGTTTTCTTACATGAATCGGCAGATTGAAGCTGAGCTTTTTCAATTTCTAAATCAGCAGCATACAATTCTACTGTACTAGTTGACTCTTTCACCTTAAAATAAGTAGAAAAACATTTGATTTAAACTATATTTACTATAAGATAAGCTTCTCGACACTCCCTGCTAAATCGGCTAGCCATTGTATAGCAAGAAGCAAAAACATTTTACTAACAGTCTAAATCTTCTCACAGATCAAAATGCTTACTTTCAAATGAATATTGACACTTCCATCGAATTTAAATGTATCAAGATGTGGCTGAATGGTCAGATCGTAATGTGTTGGAATGATGGTTGTTGGTAAACGTTGAAATAACGGTTTATTATTATTTTCTGTGGCCATTTTTAATCTACAATGAAAAAAGATGATTTGATCACAAATAAAAGTGAAGTTATCGATATTGAATCGTAAATACGAAAGAAGGGTACTAAAAAATTCTTACCTTTCCTTATATTTTAATACCTACTTGTTTAATGTACTGTGACAACGATAATGATTTTTTGTTAATGAAGAAGATAGAATAGTTGGGAAAATATTCTTTGTTGTTGCAAACGAAGATGTAGAATGAGCGAAATGTGCGCGTACGAGATATAAAACACAGCGAGAATTTCTACGAAAAGTGTTCATCAACTTCGAGCAAAAAGCAAAACATGGGAACACAATTCGAGTATCTAAAAATGAAAAAAAACATACAGAACCACTTTAATAAATAAAAACAAGAACAGAACAAGCGTTTTTAAAACTTATTTCAGGTGCTTTACTTGGCTAGACACTTAACTCTAGATTTGACGAACATATTAGCCAATAGACGAAGGAGCGGACACGTTCATCTGCCTGATGTTGTATTGATACACCGAGGTATCTCTTGTATAAATTTCTAACGACATTAACGAAGTTTTAATTCTCAACAACGTTATGACTGAACTTCATTATATTAATAGAGGGCGTGGTGACTCACACTTACGTTCGAACTAATCACAGGTTAAACTTACTGTTGCCTTAGAAGGACATGGTAGCTAAGAACTTTTGAATTAGTTCCACAGAAAAAAATTTAAGATTTATTTTTTTTTAAGCAAAAGAGTTGAAGTACTAACTCATCCATGCGATCGAAATTGGGAAGAAAGGGTTGATTAACGAGAACGTAGGTCGCTTGGAATCGCAATCCGGTATTTTTCAAGTGAAAAAAATTGTGCAACGTGCAGTTAAGAAAGCTAAAAAGGTGATATGCTCATTATAAATTGAGTCCAGGTTATTTTTTTTGCAACACTAAGGTTTTAGAAAATTTTCTCATTTTTTAAAACATACAGACAAAAGTGGGGAACTTTCTCACTCTTCAAAAACATTTACAAACATTGGAAAATCCGAATGGGATAAACAATCCGTAGCACTACACAAAATTTTCTACCTCTCTCAATTATTTTTGTTGCTAGGGTACAATAAAAACAAGGGGAAGCTTTAGAGGACAGAGTCATTGTATACAGTTCATACCTTTCTTCATTTGTAATCGATAAAGTTCTGATTTTGTTTTAAAATCAAGATTCCATCTGTAACATAGGAAATAATAATTTCATAAATATATTTTGATGCATGGCAACATGCTCAACATGGGTTTTCTCCACACTCTTATTTATTTCTAATCTCTGGATTTTTCACAGTTTCTTGAGCAAAATGAATATTGTTTCTCCATAAAATGTTCAAATGCATTATTTCTTCTATTAGGCTTTCAATTTTTTCATTTAATTTTGAAATGTTTCTGTTTAATTTATTCAATTTTCATAATATCAAATTATTATCATGAATATTGCTATTGTTCCAATTATTATTGCCAATAATCGTTGATCTTTGAGCTGGATATAATAGAGGAAGATCAGATGAAGATAAAATTGAGTATTAGAAGTAGGTTGCTATGTTTGTGTAGAGGATAGCATAACGAATTATTTATCTTAAACAAAAATTATGCATAAATCATCTATGTTCAGAATCGGGGCCGGATTCTCAAGACCTAATTAGATTCTT